TCTGACAGTTAAGTGTGGTCACCTACCCTTTCACCATTCTGAAATCTCATCAACCCTCATGATATTCAAGAGCCCAAATCCACAACAGCACCGAGTACTCTCAACCCTATCCCACAGAGAATGACTACAAATGGTTTCTGAGACATCAGTGTGCCCCATCTCTAGAGTATTCCTTAAAACCTTGGTGAAAGGTGTGCCCTCTGACTCTCCCACAGAATGGGATTCAGGGATGAGTGCTTCAAACTCTTGCAATAAATCCATCCTGAGATTTCTATCTCCCTGTACTTTTTGACTCCTTTAACACCACACAAGAGAAGTTTATTTATCTGTGGGTCATATATTATGGAATATCATTTGCTCACAATTTGAGAATATATCCATGTCAGCAGAATATTAGAGCAGCTCTTGTTTTGTTTTTTTTTTTTTTACAAAATATTGAGTGCAAGCCACAAATGAATGTACCCGTGTCAGTAGATCCTTGCCTGTTCTTGTCTTATATCCCTCTTCAACCTCAGTTCGGTGCCTTAAGACTGATCCTCATTCACAGTCCCTTGGTTCCTGATGGTATTTAATGATGCTCAGGCCATGTATTTGCTTTGGTTTGTGAGCTGTTTCCTGTTATAGCTAGGATTTGAATACTTTTTTGATCTGAGTGTAGTCACTTTTCTGAATTCAGTGAAGGTAGAGAAGGCAATTTAGGAAGAAGACAAATATCTTGTCATGTATTGTCCCAGATAGTCTTCGTTATTCTCTATGCAAGATTAGGCTGCTCTCTCCTGGTAGAATGAGGTATTCCTTCTGCCCATGTGGAACTTTCTGGGAAATTTAATTGTTTAAGATTTTTCAGGTTTTTCTACTCACTCCCCCACCTGGGAAGTGCACCACTTTGCACTGAGATCTAGAACTGATCTTTAGCAATAAAGTTCAGTTTAAATATTACCAGTAATGTTTGTTGGCTTTTACTATGTGTTTTGAGTTGGATATTTGGCCTTTCCGGGCATATTACTTTCTTTTGTCAAATAACCAGGTCACTCCTTACTTATATAATTATCATTCCTCCCCTATGACTGAAGGATCACAGCCACCAGATACTCCACCATTCACTTTTGTCTCTTCAAATGTCCACAGATACAAAGCTTACTATCTGTGAGGCCAAAGCATATTAAGGGATCACTACCCCAATTCTAGAACAAATTATTGTAGTCTGAAATTCCTAGAGAACAGAGCCTGAGACAAAAAGGAAAGTGCTGATTAGCACCTGTGATCGGGGGAGCTGGACTGAAGTACAGGAAGAGCAAGCAGGTAAAGTGAGAGAGTAAATAAAAAGATGAATGGTTAACTGGTCAGAGGTGTGAGAGATGTGTTGATCAATACGGGATTTTCTGAGAATTCTCTTGAATATATCTTTTTTTTTTTTTTTTTTGGTTTTTTTCTCTGGTACTGGGAACCGAACTCATGACCTTGAGCTTGCCAGGCAGGCGCTTTTGCCGCTGAGCTAAATCCCCAGCCCCCCTCTTGAATATATCTTAAGAACACACTTCTACAGACAGGAAGAGAGATGCATTTCCTCATCTGTTTTTCTCACACTGGTAAAATATTTGCTCTACCAATGAGATTCTTCTTCTTGCTTTTAGGTTTTGTGTACAAGAGATCTAGCTGGGTTTACTAGAGACTCTGGTGCAACATCAACAGAAAGCCAGAAAAGGCTTAGAGCAGTGGTGGCATGTGCCTGCAATCCCAGCATCCTAAGAGGTTAAGGCAGGAAGATCACAAGTTTGAACCCAGCCTGCACTGCTTAGAGACTTAGGAAGACTGTTTCAAAAATTTATTTATTTATTTATTTGTTTTTGTTTTGTTTCAAAAATTAAAAAAGGGCTGGGTATGCAACTCAGTGCAGTGCAAAGGCTCTGGGTTCAATCTCTTGTATGAGAAAGAAAGAGAGAGGGAAAGCAAGAAGCACACTGCACAAGGCTGACGTGCAACTTTTGATTTACAAGCTAGGGCAGGACATGTACAGACCCAGTCACCACGCTGAGACCGGGATAAAGACAGATAAGCCCATGGGATTACCTAAACACATACCAGAAAATCTCTCTATGATTCAGCAGTTTTAGTGTTGGGGATGTAATCAACGGAGATACCCATGTATGTGCAGGACTGCGTATTTATAAAAGGCTGCCCTGAAGTCCCTAACAGCCTGAAGTCCCTCTAAAATGGATGAAGACCAGAACCAGTGTTGGTCACAATAAGGCAGATAGAAGAGAATACATATCTGAGACAACTCAGCTCAAAATAGAGGGATTTAACCTAAGGCATTAGAAGTCAGCGAAGTGGTTATTTTTGGGAAATAGAGAATTAACAGTGGATGTTGTTGGTGCCTCCTCAGACCTCCCGTAGTACCAGCGGAAGAGGTAGTTTAGACATTTAGCTTATGAATAAGCAGTTAGTAAGGGACAGGGCCTAGGGTGCAGGTGGGCTGGTCAGCCTTATGAAAAATGCAAGTACATAGGGTTAAGGTTAATTCAAGTCAAGTAGATCACTAAGCCCAGGAACGCTGAGCTGAGGAATGCTGCGGAAAAGGAGCCCCGAGAAGTGGCGGCTGTAGCTGACCCCTCCTGCGCTGTGCTTTGCTCCCCCTAATGACATAGCAAGATTCCTAACCGCCCGAAGTGTGGGATCGCTGTACAAACGTTTCACGTCCTGTTTCTCTGTGGGTCACAATACGGCAGGGAGAGTCCACACCCAAAGTCTGTAGGCCAGAGACCTCACCACTGAGTTATAAAAGACCCAGGACCCTGGGAAGCTTTTTCGGACCCTCGCCTGACTATTGGAACCTTTCTGTCTTACACTTCCAATAAACACTGCTCTTAGCTGCATCCTTTGTCTGCAGTTTCATTCTTGGACTTCACAAGACCGTAGCGCCGGAATACCCATCCTGCCGGCCACTGCACGAGCTGGCTGCTTTTACCCCTCATTTTCCCTCATTCCTTTGCCAGCGGAAGCGTCTTGCCGGGAAGCAATGCTCCCCCTCTTCAAACCGGATCCTGGTAATGACTGGTCAGCATAGGGGAGCCAGAGCCAGGCTCTTACGCCTCAGGGTGGGGCCGGCTCTCCGACAGAGTTTTCATTCAAGTGTCTTTCCATGAGATCGGAGCAATCCCCGCCCAAGGCCACTCTAGCTTTCCTCTGCTCTCAAATCTTTCTCCCATCCATTCTCCTGCGAGCGCTCTTCTCCCACTGAGTCCGCCAGAGAATTCCTGTTTCGGGCTGTGCTTGGAGAGAACCGCGTGAGGAGAGCCTGAAGGAGCCTGCGGTGGGGTTAGCGGTGTTCCCTTTCGCAGTCTGTGAGGGCACTGGGTAAGTGTATTAACTTCGTGATAGGTCACTGATGGGAACATTTGTGAGTGATGTCATAGTTCAGCATAAAAAGTTTATTGGAGAAAGGCAGCTACTTTGTTCAAGAAGAAGTTATGCTGTTCTCGGCAACTTTCAGTTAAAAAATGCCTCAGACCTCTGAGTACCTCATAATATTTCCAAGACTCTTTCTGCTCTTGGAAAGCCTGCAGCTATCTGTAAGCACCATGCAAACTCCCCATAGCACTTGTGGCGTCGGCAGCTACCTGCAGGCCTCCTACCCACATTAATTCCCTCCGAAATTAGCCATATTAAAGTAGATAACGCTTATCTAGACAAACTCGGTAATGTAGCTCTAAATGAAATGGTTAACAAATCAAAAGTTCATTCATACTTAAGTAAAGTCTACGGACATTTGGGGGAACTTTGGAGGGGAAGCCCGCATTTCTGGCTTCCTCTGTCTTGTGGCAATTCCCCCAAGACATGATTTTACAGTCACCACGGCAGGTGAGAACACACTGAGATATTTGCACCGGAAACCAAATGTTTCTGCTTCGAGGTGATGATTGTCACTTCTTCATACAACCCACTAGCCAGACCTAGTCAAAAGCCCCATCACTGTCCCGTCCCCAGGAGTTGGATTACGGGGTGGTTCATCTCCCCAGTGTTCTCAGACAGAGTAACAACCATTTAGAATGCTCTACCACACCTTCACTGTTTTTGAACCTAAAACCAGTTTTGGACTCCTTTTATGGGACAAAGAGAATAGATTTCTTCCCCCTTCTTTATGATATAAATTCTGTGGGAATGTAGACATTTGATTTTTTACTCATTTCTCAATGAATATTTTACATATTGTCTCTTATTACTTAAATCTGAAAACTGACTTTTATAAGTGAGGCTTTATAATCAGGGAATAGCCAGGTGTGGTAGTGCACACCTGTAATCCCAGCCCTAGGGAGGCTGAGGCAGGAGGATTGCCATGAATTTGAAGACAGCCTGAACTACATACTGAGACTCTGTCTCAAAAAACAAACTATATATATATATATATATATAAAATCAAGGAATAACAACATTATAAATGTAATAGAATTATTATATATATAAAATATTATATATAAAATTATATATAATTTTTTATATATAATTATATATAATTATTATATATAAAATATTATATATAAAATCATTATATATAAAATCAAGGAATAACAACATTATAAATGTAATAGAAAGCTTATAAAAGAGTAGAGACAGTGATAGCTTTATACTTTACTTTATACTTTATTTTGTTTGAGAAGTGTTTTCCCTCATATCACAGGATGATACTAAAGATCGCCTTATACATAAAAGATCCCCATCCCAGTGGCCAATGTGAATCCATAACATAACCATGAACTTGATAGAGTTCTTTGGCAGAGTTTATGGAATTAAATTACATTAATACATAAAAAATGAGGTAGATATATGTTCACAGTTCCGTGGATCACTCCTTACAAAAAATGAGGTAGATATATGTTAATAGTTCTGTGGATCACTGATCCTGGAAATTAAATAAAATGCTGAAAAATGTATAGCTCTTCAGAAAAACATCTTCCTTGGATTCACAAAATACATTTTTCTATTAACTTTCTAATGGCTTCTCAATATCCTGGGCAGTTGAACCAGCTATTAGCTTTCAGAGTAGTCACTTTCTTTGTTGCTGGATCAAATTTGTATTGTTTTTTTCCATGAAAGAAATAGAAAATTTCTAGAAGTAAAACAAAGAAGATTTACTAAATTATACAACTAGTTTCTAGTTTTAATTTGAATTCTTGAGAAACTCAAGTTTTTAGCACAAATATTTTTGGCATTTGCTGCTCCAAATAGCAATACTGATGCCATTACTCTGGCAATAAAATGGAAGCAAGATTCTACGTCCACTTACCATCTTTGCAGAAAGCAGCATCAACTTTGCTGCCAATTCCAGGAAAGTCATCTGCTATCATTTTAGGATAATCTTCATCCATGGATCGTTTGCTTTCATCATACCTGGCCAGAAAATGATCAGAAGAGTCAGAACCTTTTGCTAAAAGTCAAGACTTTTCAAAATCATTACAGGAAGTATGCTAGAATGAATTTAACAAGAACTTTTCATTCTAGAGATTATAAAATGGGGAGTTAGATGAAGGGAGGTAGAATGCTACCTCTTTAGGTTGGTCTAGAAAATTTATAAGGTCCCTTTGAAACACAAAGTCTAATTTTAATCCTCCAGTAAATTCTACACTATATCCTAATAATGTAAAACACTATGAAAGAAAGATTTCTTTTGGCCAAAGTAACTCTATAAAGATGAATGCCATCTTTTTATATCTTTTTAATGCTCAGTACCATGCACTTTCAGAATGCCCAGCACAGGTACTGTGTGACAACTACTCATTAATGGGTTTAAATAAATGGGTGTTAGACTGGCTATCGGCATTCACAGAAAAGGTAGCTGCATAGGCAATTTGAGACTCATTTCGCACTGGGTAAATCTAGAACTTTCAATAGACAAAGAACTAGTGCCTTAATTCTTTGTTATTTTTGGTGATACTGGAGGTTGAATTGAGGGCTTCATGCACCAGTTCTACACCCAGCCCTTTTTTCTTTTTCTGTTTTGAGATAGCATCTGGGTAAATTACTCAGGCTGGCCTGCAACTTGCAGTCTTCCTGCCTCAGCCTCAGAGTAGTTAGGAATACAGGAATGTAGCACCATGACCAGGAGCCTCATGCTTTGTGCTCAGTTTTACCTCCAGTACTTGTTGTCCACAAAGAAGTAAGTTTTTCCAGTGTATGCATCAGAAGCAGCAGCATCAATTTGCTTTACAGTATTAGGGAAACCGAAGGTGCTGTAGATATCCTTGGGATATCCGGGTAGTGCGTCCAGGCCCTGAACAGCCCAGTATTTGCTACCTGCCAATCAGAAACCAGAGATGTCAGTAATTGCTCAAGGCTCCAATAGACAGTAAGCTATAAGTCCAGCTAAGTTCTGAGTTTCACATGCTAGAGCAGTGTCTTAGCTGTAGATTGGAATCATCTAGAGATTTTAAAAATGCCAGTATTGGAATCCTGTTCCAGACCAGTTAAACGAGTATGTTTTGAAACTTCCTAGGTGCATCTAATCTGAAGCAAACTTTGAGAATGCTTATGATCTGCTTATGGCCATTCCATAAAGGTCTCTTCCAAAGCTAGGTGTTCAAACTTCCTCAGTGGAAGGCTGGAACTTGTCACCCTTCCTCAGTGATTTAAAGTTCAAGTGGAAGTTCACATCAATGGTATCCTAAGGGTAGAGCAGTACAGTGACTCATAACGTGCAAATAACAACCCTGGATTCAAGTCGTAGCATCTGAGTAGAACACAGTTCCAGATATGTGAATTTACGCTGTGGCCATTTAGTAAGCCCCGTATCACATAAAGCTAGTCTTGTGTCTTTAAATAAGGACTGATCTTGTTCACAGAGATGATTATTTGCTCCTTATTAAAAAGCAATATGAAATTTTTATATGTAAAGCCCTACTTAACTTGACAATACAAAGGCTGAAAATCCTTTCAGAGCGTTTGTCTGGCAGAATGACATTCAATTCTTTGATTTGCATCTTCGTCTTTGCTGTACCACACAAAAAATACTTGCTAACATTCTGATAGAATAAAAAATGTATTGATTTTTGATTTATAGCAATTCAGAACTTTGCATACATTAATGTGCATATATGCATTCCCTAGGAAATTTGCTAAAATTCAGATTTTGCTCACAGAAGGTCTGGATGGGATTTGCGGTTCTGCATTTGTAGTAGCCTCCTGGTGACTCCTGCGCCACTGACGGCAGGGTTACACCCAGACAACAAGGTGGCAATGTCCCATTTGCTTGCTTAGTGGTGGTCTCTCCTCACCCTCCCTCAAGAAGGTGGCTCATATTAAAATAGGGTGTAGGAAATCACACAGACAAAATGTTTCAGTTTCATTCTATGTAGAATTGGCCCACTTTTCTAGCTTAATTTCTGAGCACCCCAAGTAACATGGAGAAAGTTTTAAATACGTAGTTTGCACAGAAAAAGCACATTTCTTTTTTTTTTTTTTTTTTTGGTTTTTCTCCGGTCCCGGGAACCGAACTCATGACCTTGCACTTGCCAAGCAGGCGCTTTTGCCGCTGAGCTAAATCCCCAGCCCCGAAAAAGCACATTTCTAAGTCTAGATTCACAAACTGGTCAGAATAATTCTATTTCAAATTATTTGTTTTTTGTTCAAAATGGCTCAAATGGACAATGCAAGTTTTGATTGGTGAGTTGCACGCCAATCGATTTGATTGGCGAGACTGTTAAATATTCAAAAATCCATAGACAGAATGTAGTTAAAACCTTTACATCTCACCCCAAAGTAAATAAAAAAATTAATCTGTAAAAACAATGAAAAATAATTGGGAGCATTACCCTTGAAGAACAGGATTTTATCTTCCTGGTCACATTCATAAGCAGCATCAAATAGACTCGGCAGATGGGGCCAGAACACAGCAATGAAATTCACTTCTTCTGGTTCATTGTTGTACATTGGACGAAGGTAGAACCTGATTTTAAAAATAAGGAAAAAGAAAAAAACAATTTCCATCTAATCTGTGGCAATCTCTGCCAGACATCCAGCTCCCTATTGCTGGCACTATCTGCGTGCTTGTAAATTTTTAACGTCTGACTCTTTAAAGCAGAAGGCGGGGCACAGGGAGTTTGTGTTATTTGCATTTGCTTAATTTCTCCGTGGAAATATTTCCACCATGGCAAACTTCAAGAGTCACAACAGAGTGCCATCAGACACTATTTCTAACACAGGTACAACAGGCACAAATAACCTCAAGAACATGAATAGTAAGGCAAAACCCCATTGCTCCTATGGCAGGATTAGCAATTGAGATTAGGGAAAGTAAGAGAGCTGTCTAAGGCCATAACGCTGGTAAGAAGCAAAAGTTAATTTTAAATTTGCCTCTGGCAGCCACTGCTTTTTTTGACCTTTGATAAGTGGTATACAAAGTTGATTCCACAGTTCACAGGGACTGGTGCAGCAGCATAGAACAGACTATCATGCGGGCTGATGGGAGAGTTTTCCATATTCCAGGTCTTGGAGGTTAGAACCCTACTCCTAGGTCCCGTCCTGCCTCAGCGTAGCTGTGACCTTGGTCAAGTCCACTGCTGTCTTTATCCTTCCGTGTTTTCCTAATGTGATGACATTTAAATCATCCCAGTGTCCTTTCAGTTCCTGCAAACCCTAGAATTGTGCCATTTCTTGGAGTTGTCCCTGAAAACTTGTTCTGATAGTTGTGTTCTGCTAAAGTGACCTTTCCTTTAAATCTTGTTTCCTTCACTTTTCCTAGCATTGAGCTATACCCTGTATGAGTTATATGCAGTCCCTTCTTTCACACCAAAGCTAGTGAAGAACAGGATGGAAAGCGTTGAATGCTAACACCTACATTTTGGGATAGAGATGTACAAAGCAATAAGACAGAGCCAACCATGCTCCAGAAAGGGTGGCTGAGGAGGGCATGATGGTGCTGTGAATAGACTGACTTCTCAACATCTTCAAGGTTGGCATAATGAAAAAAAGCCCTGCTTAGGGGTCAGAAAACCGATAAGCACTCTGTCACTAATGAGCTCTGTGTTGCAGAAGGTTCCTCTTTCTTTTCCTCTGCCTTCTCTATAAGATAGGATATTATTTACTGATTTTCTACTTTGGTGGTATTTTCTGAGAATGAAAATGGCCTAAAAACATATGTGGAAAAATAAGTTTAAGTATATTATGTTGTGTAAATAAAATCAGTTGCTGCCATATAATTATAAATATAAGTCAATGTCAAATAAATAGCACATGAAGTTTATTAGTGGGCAGGGCACAAAAAAACAATTGAGATCTCACCTGTCTTGAAAGAACATTACTTCTCCCCGAACTGTAGTTATAGCATTAAATGTCAGGTCACTGTTGCACACTTGTGGGGCTTTTAAGGTTTTCTTCTTGCTGAAATGTACTGGAGTTCCTAAGGAAAATGAGAAAACTGAAGTCAGTTTTGCCTAGTGTTGGGAAACTGCATGAACAATGAAAGTATCTAAAGGATACACAGCTGATGGTTGGTTTTATTTGTAATAGGGATAAAGACCAGAAGATCCCGTCCGTAACAGTTTCTTCTTACCATATAGCTGCTGGATGCCGTTAACATCATCTTGTCCTAGTAGAACATCACCAGTGGACTGATAGGTGGGGTACATTAAAGATGCAATGTCAGAAGAATGGCCAAGTCCAAGGGAATGGCCGAATTCATGAGCCGCAACATAATACAAGTTATACTCTAAAAGGTCAAGAAAACCCATTTTCAGTTATTTACAATGTATTCAGTTTGGAGGCATTTATTTAAGATGTAATCTACAATTTCTATTGTTGTTTGCTTGTTTAAGATAGGGTCTTACTATGTAGCCCAAGGTGGCCTTGAACTCACTGTGTAGCCCAGGTGTGGCCTCAGACTTGTGGTGATCTTCCTGTCTCATCTCCTGAGTGCTGCGATTACAGGTGTGTGCCACCATGCCTGGTAATCTACAATTCTATAAGGACTAATTCTCATATTTTCTTGGTCACTTTTTAAAGTGCACATACACATTTATATACATATATATGCACATACATTTTATTAAAAAACTTTTCTGAGGGTAGGAGGAATTCATTAATTGATAATGAAGAGAGATGTCCAAGCCTAACCTCTAGTATTACTTGGATAAAATTAAGTTCTTACTGACAACTTAGCATAGATGAGTTGATTTTGTTAATGATTACCTGGTATATGTTATTTCACAGAAAAGCAATAAAGTTTTATCATAATTTAATATTTTTCTTATTTACTAAGTTGATAAATGGTTAATGCTGGAAATTTTGGAAAACACAGAAAAGCTTTTGCCCCTTCATTTCTACATTAGCTTGCTACCATTGTTGAATTTTGATGTGGCTTTCTCATAAAGAAGATGTAAACTAGATATCCACAACAAAACATGAAGCTTTTCAATATTTTCTGAATGGAAATGTTAGAGTGGCCTATTTGTCACCAATAAGAAGTTATACCAGCAAAGCTAACCTCTCTTCTACTATTCTAAATATTCGCTTTTCTGAGCAGTAATGGAAAAATGTCTATTTCTATTAATGCATTCTGTCAGTTAAGTCAATCCAATACTGACATGAACCATGAAGGGGCAAGGGCATTGAGAATAATGAAGTTGATTGACTTACTACTAAAATCCTCAATCAACAATTCGTCGGTCCATGTTTCATCTAGATCAAAGTGAGCATCCCCTCCTAATCGTGGGCCTGGTCCGAAAGCATGAGCGAGTCTATTTCCGGGCCCATCAAAGGGGTTATTGTCACCATGATCTGCAAGAAATGGAATGAGGATAACTTAGAACAGCAAGTGTTAGCCTTGCTAAGATGCTACCAGACTTCAGCAAATGAAGGGTGGTTTCCTGGCTTCAGACCAAAAACTTCTTTAACAAGGAATTCGAGCCACTAAGCTGAAGAGGGTTAGGAAGAAGGGACAGTTAGGTGAAAGTATTTTCGTGCTACAGGAAGAGCTTACCTCCTCTGATAAAGCTTATCATTATGTCTGCTTCACCCTGAAAGATCCTGGTGAATGTCAGCGGTGAGAACTCACTCCAGAGTTCAAAGGCCTTCTTAATGGAGTCATCCACAACTGATTTTGGCAAAAGCGGTGTGTAATTCATAATCCTTAAAAAAATATAATACAGACACATTAGGTCCTGTTTCTTACCATTCTAATGGGAAAGAAGTCCCTGTTCTGACAGTCACTCTGGTTACCTGTAAGTCAGATTCGGGTTTCTCCAAAGGGGGTTCCCAGGCATGGTGGTGAACCAACCCACATCAGGCACCCCACACCTGGGCTGCTTCATGACATTCAGGGTTTCCTTGTCTGGCTTCCCGGTCATTTTCAGCCCAAAGAACTTCTGCATTTCTTCTAGTTGTTCAACCTGGGTAGCAATGCTTCTTTTTTGTTTTCCAGCTTGTGTCCCATTGTTCAAATTATAGTAGCTTTCCAGGTATTTCTGGTAGAAGATAAAATTATTGAAATACTGAGGTGGGAAATATTTCTCATTTTAAAAAGTGAATAGCATGAGGTTTTAGTCGAGATGGAGAACTACTTTCAAAGCTTTTATGTAGATGGCATGATCTTTGTAGTCCCTATCACAAATTTTAAAAATGCAATTTCAGAGAAGAATTCCCCTCACCACTGCTTGCCAAAAAGCCTGCACTTCACAGCAGAGCAAGACACACGAGTGAGGGGGCTGGGGATTTAGCTCAGTGGCACAGGGCTTGCCTGGCAAGCGTAGGGTCATGAGGTCGATTCCTGGTACCGGGAAAAAAACAAAACAAAACAAAAAGACACATGAGTGAAATTTGCCTGCTGTTGCAAATCTCCAAATTTCTACAGTGAGATTTGCATCCCGTTTCTTCAGTTCCCTCTCGCCTCCAACTGGAAAAGAGGAGGCTAGGAAAGGGGTTGTTTCTGACAAAAAAAAAACTCTTTGTAGGAAATCCACCCTTAAATAAACTCCACTGCACTACAGAAGAAAAATGGAAGCTAAAGACTTGTCTTTGTAGTATGCATAAAATAGTACGTACCTGGACCAGCTCTGCGTCTTCTTGTTGTATTTCTGGAGTTACTGGGAAGCCATGAGATCCCACGTCCCAGAGCAGCAGCAGCAGCAGCAGAGGAACACTGAGCATGTTGACCTCTGTTTCAGGACAAGAAATCGGTAGGTCTCTACTGCCTGTTCCTCCAATGTCTCACCTTAGGAGGCTTCTTTTTATGTAGAGAGAGTCCAAGCTGGAGGCTATCTGACTCACAGATCATAACATCCTCTTGATGTTATGAATGGCCTGAACAGTTATCAGAAACTGTGACCTTGAGTATGTTGCAATTCCACGATTAATATCAAACAGGACATTTGTGAGAGAGACAATCTTCACTATGTAAACATTTGCTTTGTCCCATACATGTCCATCCTCTTGGGAAAGGTCTTGGTTGCACACACAGGAGCAGAGTACTCCATGGCCTTTTCAAAACACATGTTTTGCTGCTCCATGCTGCCAGTTATAAAGTGTTCTGAGTGTCTGTGCGCCTCTTGCTCCCAGGGTCAAGGGTGGAATCACTAACACTCTGCACCCTCCTCCATTCAGCACCTACAGTGACATTCAGCTGCTCAAGCACCGGTTGGCAACTGAGGTTCTCTGAGGGTTCACGCTACCTTTCCCAAATCAGCTGGTACTCTATGGAAATAGCACCATGGCTTATCTTAATTGTTATTCAGATGTAGGATTTGAGAGGGGCACCAAGAAGATCCCTTATGGACAGGTGAGATATGAAATAACGCCCTGCCCTATGTAGAATTTGCTTGTCAGCAACATGGGACACATAGCATTATTCTCTGAAACTTATCGGAATGTACCAGGTGAGTCTAGGGCTGCAAGAAGCCAAAAATGACCCCGTGGTTTAATGTTCATCATGCTTTTTCTCCTTGAGCGCATCTTTGCTTCTTGGGGATAGGTGGCATGTTTTTCTTTCATGTATGCATTCATTAATACATGTATGTATTCATCTAGTCAAAAGGTCATGTACAACATCTCATGCACAGCAAAGTACATGCATGGGTATGCACTGAAAGATGTACAGACAAGAATTTATGTTCTACTTTAAATTCCCTTGGGGACCACTCGTGGTATCCATACCACCCTGGGAGAGAAAAGCTGTCCTATCTGTAGCGTCCTTCTCCTTCTCCCTCCTCCTGTTTTCCTCCACTCTCCCACTTTAGTGCCTCACAGGGTCTCCCACCTTTCTCATATTAGGTTTGCTTCTTGAGGACTTTTCTTTTTTGGGGGACTGGGAATCAAACTCAGGACCTCGCACTTGCCAGGCAGGTGCCGTGCCGCTGAGCTCTGTCTCTGGCCTCCCTGAGGACTTCTCTCACTTTGGGATTTTTGTTTTCCTCACCACACCAAGAGCAATCTCTTATTCATAAATAATGCTTCGGTGTATCTTGGATTGATTTGAAAGCACTCACTTCCCCTGGAATCATGTAACGACAGCTTCCTCCTGTAAGTGGAGTAATATATGAGTTTGTGGGGGTATGGGGAATGGAAGATCTCTCAGGGAAAATGAAGTCCTCTCCTTCTCATGGGCATTGGATGGAAGGTAGCTCAGACACCAACACAGGCCAGGACAAGAGTGAAAGGGGCTCTCTATGTTAGAAGTTGGACACAGACTATATTTTAAAAGTCGAGGAGTTATTGACATATCCTAATTATTAGGGAATCTGGTCAGTGGGCAGAGGTACCCTTCATTTTCCCTGAGGCCTAGGAAACAAGGGTTAGTAATTACCTCAAGAAAATAGCATATGACCACAAGGAATTTAGCAAGAACTTGTATCTTACCCTAGAAGAGTTCTATATAATGTCTACTCTAGAAAGAGTCTGCAGAAGATTTCACACTCTTGTAAACTACTGTACCTTTCATTTATGCAAAATCTGAGAGCCCATTTGCAAAGCAGATGAAAGTAGAAGTTATCTCATGGAAGCTAGAAGTCAGGTCTGAAGGACCCATCATTTTTTCCTGGTCCAACTCAAGAGCCATTACCACAAATGTAAGGATTGCTAACATGGATTGGAAAATGATTGCTTCAAATAACTATCTGTTAAATTTCTTCCTACAATAAAAATTTTTAAATAAAATTTTAGCTAAAAAACCAGTCCTATAGATTCATGTGGTCCTGAATAATTCTCAGTTAGATATTCATGCATAGCTTCTAATATATGCATGTCACATTTGGGCTATGGTAGTGTGCGATTATTTGAGAGTAAGAAAAAGAAGACATAGGGGCTGGGGATTTAGCTCAGTGGCAAAGCGCCTGCCTGGCAAGCGCAAGGTCATGAGTTCGGTTCCCGGCACCCGAGAAAACCCAAAAAAAGACAAAAAAAAAAAAAAAAAAAAGAAGACATAAAAATCTAGACCAGATAGCTACAGATTCAATCCAAGCAAATCCCAGCAATACCTGGAGTTAGTGTAGTTTCCCAGAAGATTGAAACATGTTAATATTGTATTTACTCTTCATGTTCAGATTGCCTGCCCCTTCCTCAACCCAAAAATCCCCTTTTGGATTAAATTTTGTGAAGCTATTCCTCTATCTTTTATCACCTTGGAGAAGGACAGGTGTGAGAGTGCTCTTGTAAGTATGACTACGTAAACTAACTTTTGACTTTTTTTCAAGCAGTCAAATTATTTCACGATTTTCCTGGTTGTTTCATGCTGGCTTCTCTGTGGAAGAACTCAAATATGATTGCATTTTCCATCTTAAAGTCAATTTGATATTTCAATCTTCTTATTTTTTTAATTTGGGAAATTCAGCTTTTCTAATTTTTTAAGTCCATTTGAGTGTCAGATTCTTTTTTCTGTCAGATCTACTTTTTTGTCCTATAAATCTTGAAATGGTATTTGTCAGAAACCTTAACTGTTTAATGCTGCTTTGTTTTCAGAATAGCATAAGAAAAATCTGTCCTACTCTATATTCTCCCTTAATATGGCCATATGGTAGTTTTGTGGCTGCATACAGTGTGCTAGACACTTGGGATAATGCTACTCCAGTTTTTATGGTCACTTCTATATAGAAATGATTAACTCATCAACCCTGAGTCCCCCGTCATGGGAGGTAAGTGATAGAGTCATTGGTTGAACATGGGATTCTACATGTAGAAATTTTGATTCTCTAAAGGAGAGAAAGTGTCTGGAGACACTACGACTGTTACATCAATTCCCTCCAGTCTATCATAATATCTTATCCCACCGCTCAATTCCTGTGGCCTGAAAGAAACTTCTCCACTTCCCTTTAGAGATACTACTCAATCTCCCATCTCAAAGTTCTTTCAAATTGCAGATAATACTTACTGCCACAACTCAGTATGTATTTATAAATAAATACAGAACAGATACTTAAATAAAGGGGATATTTCTTGTTAGACTCAGTTGTCTGCAAAGTCTTAGATTTTTATTTTTTTTATTTATTTTTATTTATTTTTTATTTTTTTTATTTTAAGGATAAAAGGAGGGAAACATTAACAGACATACAACATTTTACAACATATCACAAGCACAATACAGACAATACA